ATTGTGTTTTTAGATTAATTAATCTATCCATCCATCCATTTTCTTCCTCTTATCCGAAGTCATCTGAGCTCCTCCCCCTCTCTCTAAGGCTGAGCACAGCCTACCTCCATATATGTTGAAGTTTCTTTTTTAACTTGCAGACAAATGTCATCCTACTCGATCTTAATCCTGCCGCCATGTTTCGATATGTGGCCAATTAAATCTTTGTTTAAGGATATTTTATTTTGAGGCGGTAATGAACAGATTCCTCATGACAAAACTATTCTCTTTAGTCTTTATGTTGAGGTGGTTTTTAAGAAATGAAATCTGCACACTTTAAAGTCGAAAACATCAAATTGACTGCAGCTCTACGACATCACAATCCAAATGTTGTCCTAAAATGTAACGCTCTGCACCGCCTCGTTGTTTTCCAGTCCTGTCGATGATTAGAAGGCTTGACGGCTTTGTTGAACTTTGAGGCTCCTCATCGGCTTCCTCCAAAGCAGCTTCTCTCACTTTGTTCTGTCCGCATGATGTTCATATTTCGTTTTAATACGACTCAAACTCTCCTCTAATACAGAGCCGCTGAATTTATTCTCTGCACGGCGTCAAAAATGTGTTGTGCTGTTCATGAGGTCATGTGCAGAAACAGAACCACGGCGGTGATGGAGGAACAGAAGGCACAGCTTTTGGTTTTATTAATAAAAATAATCAGAAATTAGAGCCAAACATAAAAACTCATAAACACAGACCCTCTTTTCATTGGTCCGTTCATGAAGACTGCGTCACAGCCTCCGTCGTCTCCTTCTCCCTCTTCTTCTTCTTCTTGTTCCGTTGGTGTTCTGAGCTGCCGTCCTCTTCAGCTGCTGCTCCTTCAGCCTGCTGCTTCTTCTGCTGGTACGCCGTCAGTTGTCGAAGGTCACCTTGTACAGGTTCTCGTACCGGCTGCTGGACTTCATGGCGGCTGAGGAGAGAGAGAGAGAGAGAGAGAGAGAGGATGAAGACGGGAAACACAGCTACACTCAAATCATCTTTGTCACATGAAAACAGTGAACGCACTGACATGGCTGTCATGAGCACGCCAAGTCAACAACGATGCGAAACTGTTCTCGCCATTCCTCTGCAACGACCATTTCACTTTACAAAGTCGTCCAATCAGGCGTCTCTGCTTCGCAACATAGTGGAGAGTAACTGTGTATGTGTGAGTGAGCATGTAAAAGTCCAGTTAGCATCGTTAGCACCAGCGCTAGTTTGGTTACGTCTGCCATCGCACTAATCTCATGAAAACTAAAGTTTGACGATGACATCACACGGAGGAGAAACCGGCGCACAGCGTTTGAAGAATTAAACTCTGTTCTCCCTGTTGGTTGGATTTTGTGTATAGTTGGGATTTTAAATGCATAGTGGGGTTCCGCTAAATGTTTCAGTCACACACAATAAAAGTAAATCATTGGAGGCGGAGTCAGAGCAGAAACTTTCAGTCTGGAGTCTGCTGGCGTCAAATGAAGAAGTAGACTCTTTTAGAGCTCACACAGATGTAACAGATCATCAAGAACTGACTCAAAGTCCTGGATTTTAACCCCGCATAAGCAGCACAAGATGTTTGGGGGAGGCGGAGTGCGAGCTTGTGTGACACTGCAGGTTTATTTCTGTCCGGTGGGGGGCGAGTGGGAAGAGGATGTGAGAGGGAGGACAGCGAGGATGCACTGCCGAGAGGCCGTAAGGTCAGGTGGACGAGTGTGTGACTCACCATGAAGGGTCTCCCTGTGAGGCTGCAGGGCTGCGGTTGCTCGGTGCAGCTCGGCGCTCTCCGCAGCACTCTGGGACAAACAGGAGGGCGCACGTTTAGCACAAAACACCACAGATAGACACGGCGGCAAAAGTAACACACATGAAGTCGTCTCCAGCTGCAGAGGAACGCATTCAGCTTCTTTATAACACTGGGAAACCAGAGCGCCACCTGCCAAGGGGGCTGTGTTTACACCAGAGACGTGATTAACTGTAAACAGAGAGATGCATGATGACATCATTAGAATCATAGTGACAATGTGTGTGTGTGTGTGTGTGTGTGTGTGAGGCAGCAGTGTGTGTGTGTATGTGTGTGTGTGTGTGTGTGTGTGTGTGTGTGTGTGTGTGTGTGTGTGTGTGTGGAGCAGCCGGGATGAGTCACGTCCTTGTTTGGATGTGTGGAGCGCTCACGGACAGAAACATCAGCGAGTAGTTTCCTCTTCACACTCCTCGTCCTCCCACACGCTGAATGTAAATAATGATGTGTGAATATCAGAGGGCGGACAGCATGAGGTGAGATAATGGAGTTTAAAAACCCCGAGGGAAATTTGTCTCGGGACACCTACAGAGCGTGCTTTAAAAGAAGAACACAGAGGAGCATGGTGACCAGAAGGAGTTCTTAGAGGTGACTTCAGCTGATTTAGAAAACCTGGGTAAAGCTTGTTTGAATTATATAGATTTTAAATGACGACTCAACATCTAAAATTCCTCCAGCAGGGGGCGCCAATGGCCCAGTAGATGAGTTGCACCTTGTACAGAGGCAACGCTCTCTCGTCCTGATTTCCAAAGGTGCTTCTCATTTCTCTCTAATTTTTTTTCTGTTTCCTCACTTGAACAGGAAGTCGTTCTGTGCGGCCATGTTGAAGGACGTCCCAAGTGTCTTATTTCAGCACCGAGGAGAGAGGTTTGAGGTTTGAGGAAAATCCTCTGAGGAGCTATGATTGAGGAAACAGCCCGACTCTATGTGCTGTCCTATCAAAATAAAAGCATAAAAATGGATCGTTGTGAACGAGGCTTTAAAAGGCTGCAGAGTAATGAATGAGGACTGTACCTCCCAGCAGTCCTGTGTCCGTGTGTAGATCTGGAGCGGTGTTTCTCTGGAGTCCATCAGCACCCACAGTCGACCCTCGGGGTCAAAGGTCATGTCTGTGGAACAGTGAGGCAGAGGGAGCCTGCTGTGAGGGACGATTTTCTGCTCGGAGTCTTTTTTCAGAGAGAAGAACTGAAGCGTGGAAACTCTGAGAACAAAAAACAGGAGATCAGATCATCAGAGGGAGTCATGGCTCTGACCTACATGTGCAGTGAAAGACAGTATCCAGGAGCCTCACAGGGACATTGTGCTTCCATTGTGGACATTGTACGTCCCAAAAATAGATTTAACTATAGGAAGTAAATATAGCTCAAAGGCAGCTGACATGTCAGAGTTTAAAACAGACTCCTGAGAGGGAGTCGTGTACACACATCCTGCACGACAACAGTTTGGAAAACTTTTCTAAAGACAAGCGATGAGAAGAACTGAAAATGAGAGCAGGCGAGAGATCAACGTTTTCACTCATTAAAAACATGGAGGTGGAGCTTGCTGGTATTTTAATGTGTAGGTCATTTTTTCATTTTGAGCCTTTCTGAGAGGTCCAATCAGTGAGATGTGTAGAGAGTGAAATGATAAAGGTACCTTACTATAAGATCAGACATTAAGGAAACATGCTATGTTGAAGTGCTGGCTTCTCTGACAACAATGCAGCAGCCAGTATGTCCTCCTCCTAACTTTAGATTCTGGTCCTGAATGATCTGGATTTGTTTGGACCAGAGAAGGTAGGCGGTTTTAAGGCACCCCCCACACGGCCATTTTGGACGCCCCTCAGTTTGCCAGATATGAGACCAGTTATCAGGAGAGAAGTGGTTCAGATAGAAGTGATTGTACCCGACCTAAAAAGCCTCTGCATGTTTCTAATAAGCTCCACGAGCAGAAACGTGCTCAAACTAGGATCAATATTGGAGATGCTTTTGAAAAATGGAGAGAGGTTAGAACACAGAAAGGTTTACAGACCAATGTAGAGCTGGATAAACACTGAAGCTTCAGTGTCCACCACATGACAACCTGTGTGAGCATCGACTCTAGAGAGGAGGGGACGGGGAGAGACAACTCTCTACAATGTTTAGAATATAGACTGCAGTACCCATTTTAAACACTAGGGGGTCAGAGTTACATACTGCTCCTTTAAGTTTATTTCCAGTTGACTTTGTAATGTAATTTATCAACAAATGAGGAGAAAGCAGCTTTCTGTCCCCTCTACCTGTAGTCCTAACTGAGTGATTGACAAACAGGAAGTGACACTCACCTGTCACACAGCACGGCCACATGCTGAGCATCCGGTGAGCTGCTGATGCGGCACACAGTGGGCTTCTGGGAAATAAAACAGAGACAGACAGGAGGAGTCTCAGAGAAGCTTCTCACGCTTGTTTGTGTAAAATAAAGGACTTAGACATCCCTTCCTCTCGGCTCTGGATCCGGGGATCCATGTGTGTGACCTATTTCACCCCCGCTCTGACACAGCTCAGCAGAGAAACACAAAGACGAGGCTCCGCCTGACAGGACAGAGAAGCTGAAGCTGTGCCAGCTGCTCAGTGGACCTCTGAGTTCAATAAGACACGTTCGTTTGTTATCATTTAGCCATTAAAGCAACAATGTGCAGGAATTCAGTGTGGCGGCCATCGAAGGTCAACGAGTTCAACGGCACCGTCATAAAACACGCCGCCGGTAAAGCTGCCAAACATGAGACAATGATGACACTGATAAGGACACAGGATAACGCTACGTCTCAATCTGTTCTGAATAATATCTGCAGGGATGAACACTCTGCTTCTCACTCGCTCACTCTCTCTCTTCTAATCTTCCTCCGCCCTCTTCCTCTCAGCCGTTGTATCAAACAGAACAGAGACAAGCTAACTGGCTGCCTCGTAGCTGAAGGCTGCTTTGTGAAAGAGCGCCGAGAAGACGTTTGGACGATGTAGAGAGATGTTTCGACATCATACATGAAACATGGATCTATTGACCTGCTACACAAACAGTCACAAACATCTCTACCGTTCCTCCTCCGGGTGTTGTTGCTCAATCGACTGTCATGGCGTCCCATACTACAGCAGGTAATGTGTCGTCACTCAGTTCTTACCTTCTGTTTGTCGGCGTCAGGCGGCGGCGTCTCCTCCAGCTCACTGAGGTCGCAGCTCTCCAGCTCACTGAGGTCGCAGCTCTGCAGTTTACGACGGACTCGAACTCCCACAGCTTCAACGTCCCGTCCTGATGAACACAAAAACCCCTTCATATTAGGCCCGCCCATGTGTCCCACTGCTGTTTTTTACGAGCAAAAAAGTGCTGGCTGCGCTCTCTGGAGCTCTTGGATGATGCACTTGTGCGATGAGAATTTAAACGCTGCATGTGCATCCGGTCACTATGACAACTGGCGCTGTGTGACCAACACTGCTGCTTTTTCCTTTTATATTCTATTTTTCGTCACTGTGAGCATCAAACGGAGGTTGTTGGTCGTCCTGCTGCGTCTGGACACGGAGCGAGGAGGATGTGGGTACAGTGGGACTACAGTATATTTAGAAAAGAGCGCCCGTGACATAAACAGCACATTTCTGAAAAGAGATTTTCAACTGGAAGAACTCGGAGTGGCCGCACAAAAAATCTATTTTAATAACAGAGCGTAAGCTAAAAGGAAACATAAAGAAGCTCATGGATGTTATTAAATTCCTCTTTGCCTTTGAATAAGTGTGTTAATGAAGCTTAAGGAAACACACACACACACACACACACACACACACACACACACACACACACACACACACATACCCCTGATCCAGACAGCAGCCAGTGTGGATGACCTGCAGGGACGAGCAGGCAGCTGACGAACCTAAGAAGAAGAACACGCAGGATTCAATCTGAGCACACTTCATGTTACTGAGCTGCAGGACACAGGGTGAAAGCTTGCTGTTCAGGTTGTTCTCTTTTTTTGAGGGGCCGGATATTAGTCAAATATAAATCCAGTATCTGTGAGCACATTTGCAGCTCTCCGAGGCTGCGTTCACATGGAGTGTGTGCATCGACATCTTTCAGCTGTTTGGGCCCTGTCACATGCTCGACTTCTGAATTAATTAGAGCCGGCCGATTTATACTACATGAAATGTGTCCTGAAAACGTAAAAGATTTCACTTTTTTTTATTTTCCCCAGCAGAAAGTCGCAGACACTCACTGTTGGTGTCCGAGGCAGAAGGACTGGATGTTGTACGGGGACCTGAGGTGGCTCACGCGGATTTTCTCGTCGCGGTCGGCTGTGATGAGGAACTTGTTGTCCGGGGAAACGGTCTGAAAGTCAGCATAAGGAGAAATCATTCAATCGGACAAAGGCTGAGAAAAGTGTGTGATGATTCCAGCAGGGCACAGGAAGCAAGGTGCAGGAAAACTAGACCAGCACTCTGAGGAACTTTGTTTTACATTGTTTGTTAAGAATCAAAGATCAAATACGACAACATAATAAAAGATCAAATGAGCAACAGGATGTGTGCTCATAAAAGTTGAACAGCACAGGAGAGTTTTTGGGGGGGGGGGAGGGGGGGTTCTGCTGCTCGGAGGTTCTTACTACAGCCAGCAGCATGGACAGGTGTCCCATCTTCAGCTCCCCTTCGCTCTGCGGCTCCGTCACCGAGAAGGAGTAAACGTCTCCTGATTTGTCCCCAGCTAGCAGCTCGTCCTCAGTCTGACTGAAGAGCAGGGCGGTGCACCTCCTCACCACCCACCTGTACCACACACACACACACACACACACACACACACACACACACACACACACACACACACACACACACACACACACACACACACACACACACCACACACACACCACACACACACACACACACACACACACACACACACACACACACACACACACACACACACACACACACACACACACACACACACACACACACACACACACACACACACACACACACACACACACACACACACACACACAGACCTTACATCAATGTGTGGACAGTGCATGGAGCTGCTGTGACAGGAGAACAGAGCTTCAGTCCTTTACCTGACGCTGACGCACTGCCATGAGGGCTCACAGCGAAACAGGACCAGCCTCTTGTTGTCATCCGTCAGCGCCACCAGCTTTCCTGAAGGAGACACAGCGAAGGCCAGGACTTTGTCACTTCCTGTTTCCTCTGATGCTCCAGCATCACTGATGAAAGACAAAAATAAACAGCTGGTTTATAAAAAATTTTTTTTTTAAAAAGTACACTCTCTGTTGAGCTTTTTCATACAGCATCAACATGAAGCCTCAATGATCCAGGTCTTTATATTTCTGCACAGGAGAAACCCCCCCGTCATCTCCTTTTTGATTTCTATCATTAGGGATTCATGCGTTGGATTTTTCATGTCAGGATATTTATTTTAGACTCAAAGATGATACAGATATGATCTATGAATACAAAGTTATCCATCAAACCTTCAGTTTGTATAAGGAGCAGAACATTCAGACTTTAATGTCTTCTGACAGTTTCACCTGCTGGTGTCCTCCTTTGTGTTCTTCGGCCTCTTCTCTGCAGCGCTGCAGTCAAACACGAACGGCTCTCTGCAAGACAAAACCCCAAAGGCAGCTCCAGTTTTTATAAAAGTTTGTAGTTTGTAGTTTTATTCATATTGATTTGAATGAGTAAATTTTTTTGAGTGTAAAAACATGAAAATGATCTTTGACACGTCACAAGTCTTAAAAGTTGTGTTAGTCAAATACCTCAGTATAGAATTAAAATGAATACAAAGGGACATAAATGTGCATAGAAAAACACTATTTTGTTTAAATAAATATATTTTTCTAAGAAATGATCTGTGTTTTTATAACATGTGGAAAATATATTTGTTTACTTTCTGAAATGTTAAAGAACATTTAATCTAATCTGACTGCCTTGGCTCTGAGTGATTGACAGCACAGCTAGCTTTAGCTGTTAGCTCGCCGGTAAACAAACCCAAACAAACTTCACAACACGTGACAACTGGCGGAGGAAACGTGTCACGTGACGCCCACCTGTCCTGTTTGGTGTTGACTGCCACCAGTTTGGTGTCGCAGGTGAAGAGAAACCACTCTCCGCAGAATCCCACAGCACTCATGTCTGTTGTGTTTTTGTAGCATGCGACGACGGCAGGAGAGGGAGACCCACGCGGACAGGAAGGAAGGATACGCTGTCGCGCGTAATCGACGTCACAGACCGCACAGGAGAGTACACGCCCCCTTCGAGAAAGTACAAAATGTACACAAAAGAGTCTAACTGTTGAACAAATGAGGTTTAATGCGAAATACACGCAGAATTATCTCTCTGGGTCATAATGTGCAATCAAAGTGTTCAAGTAGTAAGAACTAACGTCGATTGGTCGACTTTAATCGATGACATTTAGCTCGAGAGAGTGAGCATTCATTCAAACGCGAACCTGGAGATTAAACTACACTGTCGCTGTTCTACATCGGCAAAATGACCGAATATCAACCGAATATTAGTCGAATTAAAGATGAAAACACAACAAAAAACAAAAAAAAACAGTGAAGAGAGAGCAGAGCACACATGTTTGTGAGGAAGGGGGCGGTGACTCTCACAGTGAAGGGGGTTACATAAAAGTGTGTGAGAGTGATGTCCATGCTGCTGTGAGAGAGCTGTCTTTGGAGACCTGACCACCGGAGAACCGTCGAGAAGCCTTTTCTTTAAAAAAAAAAAAAATCCACAGGTAATTTGTGTGACGCTTGTTGAATGAAAAACAAAGCTGCTGCTTCTCACAGGCACAACACATCAAGATTTGCAGCTTTTACTGCAGTTTTGTTGTTGTTGTTGTTCTTGCACGACGCTAAACGAGCCAGTGTTGAATGTGAAAGATGTTCAGACGTTGTTTGTTTGTTATTGTTGTTGTCGTGATGTATCGTTATGTAACGTTATCCACAGCAGCACAGGCAGACTGCACAGAAAGATGGCGGCTTCCCTGCTGAGGATAGGACGACTGGGTTGTGTCAAGGTAATGCGTGAAAACAACACTCTTCTACTGCTTTATTTGCATGCTCTTATGGTAAATACTCGCACAGTACGTTGTCATAGTTTGGCCTCTTGTTTTCTTTGCGCTCCACATTTGAAACCAGCCTCTACCCTGCAGGCAGCACTGACTCCAGCTCCATGCTCAGCGCTTTAAACCGGCTGTTTTGCTCAGTTAAATCATGTTTTGGATAACTTCCTGAAAGCTCACACTCCACCCAAGTTGTTGCAGACTACTTAAAGTGTACGCCTGATCATCTCAGCAGGCTTAAAGCAGACACACAGGCCTGACAGCTGAAGCTCCTTGACTGTGCAGACAAGTGCTGAGCGACATGGGGAGGTGTGGTAAACCTTTAACAAGAAGCTGTAGGTTGTGTGAGCATGCTTGTGCAAGGTTAGAGGGCCCCCACCAGTATGTGGTCAGTGGTTGGACTGGAAATGTTTACAAGGAAGGGTGACTTGGACTCGTATGACAGGATTTAACTGTTTTTAACTCACTGACATACAGGGGGAGGGGGTGGGGGGGGGCAGTGAGCAGGGGTGTGTCCAGACTTTTTGGACTGGGGTGGCCCAGCTTGGGACGCTGACTTGTGCAGGGGTGAAGCCTGAAGTTTGTGTGCACACAGCTGAATGAAGAGCGTTTATTTCCCCCTTCAGTCTGCACTCATCACACAGACTTTTAAGTAACACATGATGATGATGATGACGTCTTCATCTTCTGAGCTTCACGGACTCAAAAGAAAGTCTGTACGTCCAGAGTCACCATTTGAAGTAATCTGACTCAAACCAAACATCTGCACGCTGAGCTGCCTGTTGCAACACAGGCTGAATGGTGGATTTCAACTGAAGTCCCATCTCTGATCAGGATAAATAGCCAATAATAGTTGGAGGTGGCCAGTAAGATTTAGGGGGGGGGGCATGCCTACTCTCCTGGCAGCGAGGAGCCTGAAGTTTCAGAATATTAAAATGATCTGAGTCTCAAAAGTTTTGCCGTGGAAGTTTTTCTCTTGACTTTAAACTGAATAGTTTGCTGTGAACATGGGCTGGTTCACTGACGACTGTGTGGGATAATAATTGGATTCCCTGTAGGAGATCTTCCATCCACACATGCTTTTGTTGGAGTGGGAGAACTGGTTGCAATCTGCAACCTCACCACTAGATGTCGTTAAGTTTTTTAAAGGTTAAACAAAAAGGGGAGTGGATGTCAGCAATACTGTGTCTGTGTGTGTTTTGTGTTAGTGTTTGCAGGCTGAGAGCTGGATCACTCTGAGTAGAGCACCTTCAGCTGCGGCCTTTAGCTCAAAATCTGGTGGTTCTAAGAAGTCATCCAAGAAGGACTCAGGTAAGCTTTCAGAAGATCAGCGGCCCTGTTTTGACTTTTTTTTTTTTTCTTTCAACTTTTGCATGAACCTACTTCAGCTCAGAAAGTGGCACAGGTGTAGCCTGTATCATACAACAAGCATGATGTCATTGAACAAAGTGATAACACATGGTGCAGTTTTGTAACATCACGCAGGACTAATGTGTCCTTACAAAGCAGACCATGCTCCTGCTCCCCTAAACCCCTAATGCACGGCTGTCCTGAAGTAAATGTTCAAACTTAATGAAGATTGAATTTAAAGGCTTTAAAAAGTTGAACTAATGGTTTGATGGCTGCAGACAGTTCAGCCTTTCATGTAGCAGAATGATGTAGGCTAATGTGGTGCTGCTGGAGAAAAAGTAACAACAAAGAGTCAAAGGTCAGAGGCCCCCCCCCGAAATGTCCCCTATGTCAGGGCAGAAACAACAGCTGCTTTTTCCTAGCTGCAGGGTTCAGCTCTGTAAATAAAAAGGCTCTTTACTATCACCTTCTTGAAGCTGCTGCTGCTGCTAACATAAATGTTTGCTTTGGCAAATACAAAATATTTTTATGCATTTGTCTTGTTCAGTTAATCACAGAGATTCTTGTGATTGTGGTATTCACTAATGTGTTGGATGAGAATGACTTGTAATTCCTGCTTTTCTCCCACAGATATCGATGATTATTTAACTGAATCAAACCCGTATCAGCTGCTTTTAACTCCTCCTTTGAGATTTTGAAACTTAACATTTAACTGGATACAAAGATTCGAAGTGTCACGGGTTCCTCTTTGACTCTTCTCTTAGTGTGTTTACCATTTCCCTAGGCCTAACTCATAGACCTATCATTCTTTTTATTATTTTTCTGTAAACCAGAACATGCACCAGATGCTTCTTCATGATGTTTCTTTATAATGTTGGGACATTTGAGGTTCATAGTGGACAGTTTGTGATGAGATCATTAAAATGTGTTTGTAGCGAAGTAATTCATCTTGTCTGCTTGCACTCTTCCTTCGTCCTAGACAAAGACCAGGGTAAAACATACTTCGATATAGAGAAACTTGTCCAGCACAAGACATTCGATCTTCCCAAGAGTGATGTTTCTCAGGCAGTAACCGCTGCTGCAGCAGCAGCCGAAGCGGCAGCAAAACCTGTCGAGGCGTCCACAACCGCTGCTGCTGCTGCACCTGAGGCTGTAGCTGAGGCAGTTGTTGAAGCCACACCTGTGGTCGAAGCCGTCGCAGAAGCTGCACCAGTCGTCGAGGCCGTCGCAGAAGCCGCACCTGTGGTCGAGGCTGTTGTGGAGGCCGTTGCAGAAGCTGCACCTGTGGTTGAAGCCGTCGCAGAAGCCGCACCTGTGGTGGAAGCTGTCGCAGAAGCCACACCAGTAGTCGAGGCCGTCGCAGAAGCTGCACCTGTGGTTGAAGCCGTTGCAGAAGCCGCACCTGTGGTTGAAGCCGTGGCAGAAGCTGCACCTGTGGTTGAAGCCGTGGCAGAAGCTGCACCTGTGGTTGAAGCCGTGGCAGAAGCTGCACCTGTGGTTGAAGCCGTGGCCGAAGCTGCACCTGTGGTTGAAGCCGTGGCAGAAGCTGCACCTGTGGTTGAAGCCGTGGCAGAAGCTGCACCTGTGGTTGAAGCCGTGGCCGAAGCTGCTGAAGTGGCACCTGTGGTGGAAGCTGTCGCTGAAGCTGAAGCCGCACCTGTGATGGAAGCTGTCAATGAAGCCGTAGCAGAGATTGTTGCAGAAGCTGCACCTATTATTGAAGCTGTTGCCGACGCTGTCGTCGAGGCTGCACCAGTGGTTGCTGAAGTGTTACCTGAAGCCGCACCAGTGGTTGAAGTAGTTGCTGAAGCTGCAGCAACCATAGCTGAAGTTGCTGCTGAAGCCACTTCCCCCGAAGCTGAAACTGCAGCACCAGTAGAAGAGGTTCCCGTTGAAGCTGTTGAAGCAGCACCAGCTGCTGAAGAACCTGCAGCTGAAGCGGCCCCTGAAGCCCCTGCGGCTGAGGCTGCACCTGTTGCAGAAGTTCCCGTTGAAGCTGCTCCTGAAGCCCCTGCTGCCGAAGCTCCTGTAGAAGCCGCTGCCGAGCCTGCTGCTGAGGCCCTAGCCGAACCGGTTGAACCGTTTGAGGGTACACACTACTACCTCCCCCTCCCCCAAAATCCTTCTCTTTTCCTCTGTGGACCCTGCAGTCTACCAGCACCCCTTATACAATTATGCAGTAGCCGTTTGTGATGAGGATTAACGATAAACTGTAAAGATACCGGACATCACAAACACAATTTTTTTTTTAAATTTTTTTTTTTTGGGTTCTGTCGATGCAAAACTTTTGGTGTCACTTCTTCTTTAACATTCAAACGATATTTCCCCTTTTCACCCCGTCCACCATGCCATAAGCACCAGATCACCAAGTGCCTGGGTCACCTTTCCTGTAGCTGTAGTTCATCGCTAATGTGTTTGTTCAACCATCCTACACACGATGCATGTACTAACTCTGTAACACTTCACTGTTAGACTTTTGTCATGCATCTTTTGTTTGCACACTTTTCCTTTCATGCTGTTTTTCCCCCACACACACACACACACACACACACACACACACACACACACACACTAATCTCAGCTTGCTTAATCCTTTCATTTCTTCTGTTTCTTGGATTTCCTACTTTGCACCTTCCTGCATTTATCTGTGCTATTCGTGCTTTCAACCTTTTTTTTTTTTTTTTTT